AGGACATCTGTATCTGGTATCTTATCCTGCCACCGGATCCTCAGAATTCTGCGAAGGCAAGTCATGTGGAAGTAATTCAGTTGCCTGACGTGCCTCCTGTACACTGTCCAGGTCTCACTAGCATACATTAGGGTAGTTAGCACTGCTGCCTGGTAAACTTTAAGCTTAGTAGCAAGGCTTATTCCACGGCGGTCCCACAGGTTAGTCCGCAGTCTGCCAAATGCAGAACTTGCCTTGGCAATTCTACAGTTGACCTCGATGTTAATTGTCACTGCACGGGAGAGGGTACTACCAAGATTATATTTGGTGGTGACATCACTGTTGCACGGGAGATGCCCAGTTGAGGGCTCCTTTCATGTGGTTTGAAGTTGTCCATGAAGTGGTACTCATTAATCTATTTGCAGTTGTCTGCTTTCAAACTGCTGGGTTGGTAGGAGCTGGAGTGTATGATGGGAGCTCACCCCACGTCGTGGGAACGATGGGTCTTGAATGCAGGTCTGCTGATTGTCAGTCCAGCGTTCTAACTTTGTGAGCCTCCATGATGATGTCAGTTTACATCCATTTATAACTGACTTTGCATCTTCAATGCTCTCTTTCCACTTTCTCTCCTTAGAATTATGCAGGGCTTTTTTTGTCATAAAACGCTCAGAACAGAGTTCCGGCACCTTTTTTGGATGGAACCTTGTAGGATAGGCAAGGCGGGTTGTATGACATGTGTGAGTTTCGGCACCTTTTTTTTTTTTTTTTTTACAAAAAAAGCACTGGAATTATGTATCCACTGTTGTACAAATAGCTCTCTGCTTCTCTAATGGGACTTCCCTTTTATCCCCTCCATATTCCCATTTTGAAAATTTGCCATGAAATGTTGTCACCCTTCCAGGGGAAAAAAATGGAAGGATGCAGGCGAGAAGGAAGTCCAACCATTAACTTAAAGGAAACAGGTAGTAGTAGCATGTAGCAGAACTTAGCAAATCTTGCAAAAGCTTAACAGGAGTAAATCTGGTTAACATTTGGGCAAGAGACC